AAACAGGACCAGCTGAGGAATTGGCAAGGTGAGATAGCTGTGGTTTGTTCTGTCTCTCTGATCTACCAGCATTGACCCCAATAACTCGCCTCGGGTTTGATTTTATTAATAAGAACCTTTAAGATTCCTGCTACACCCAACTGCAGCCTCATGCTCTCCTCCCACTCCATCCCCTGCCTCCCGCCCCCTCCCCCAAGCCATTTTCTTCGTTAGTGATGGGGGGGGGGCAGAGCACTGAGTGGAGCCATCCCTGGGCTGGTGGTCCTGAGTTCTACAAGAAATAGGCTGAGCCAGGTGGCTGCTGTGGCACACGCCTTTAATCCCAGCACTCAAGAGGCAGAGTCAAGCGGATCTCTGTGAGTTCAAAGCCGGCCTGATCTCCAAAGCGAGTTCCAGGACAGGCACCAAAACTACACAGACAAACCCTGTCTCAAAAAAACAAAACAAAACCATGCTGAGCAAATGAGCAAGTCGGTAAACCGCACCCTCCGTGGCCTCTGCATCAGCTCCTGCCTCCCGGTTCCTGCCCAGTTTGAGTTCCTTCAGTGACGTCCATGTGGAAGTGTAAGCCAAATAAACCCTTTCCTCCCACAAAAAAAAAAAAAAAAAAAAAAAAAAAAAAGACTCAGAGCATCATCGTTGTAATAACAGAACATTAGCAATCCTGAAATTAGCAAACGAGAGCCCTAGGTGTCTTTATCTGTAAGACTAAAAATTTATACTACTGATCTAAATAATAGAAAAAAATGTGGCTTTGATTCCCAACTACTTAAGTCATGTGTCTTTCCCTGGCTTTTTCCCCCACAGATAAACTGTATCACTTGATTCTGATCTGTAATTGTGAAATGTAATTTGGCCTAAACAGAATGATAGGCAAGGGGCAGATAGAGACAATTATTTTCATGCCCTAATTCATGAATGTTAACAAGCCCTATAGACAACAATAATTAATTGCTTTTCTTCCAAGTCTCTTGACTTAATTTAACAAAGAAAATACTAATGGATTTTGAGAGAAACTAGAATTATCTGTATATAGCTAATGAGGAGACTAAAAATATGCTGAAAAACTCATAAATGCATGAAGGGAAGCATCTTGAACAGAAACAAAGGCTTTGGAAAGCTAAATATACTGTTGAACCAGTAAAGGAATAAGCAGTAATGTGAGTATGGGAGGAGTAAAGTACAGAAATAAAGATAATTAGCTAAATTTAATATCGAATAACTACAAATCAGTAAGAAAAAGATGATGGAGTAAAACATCCAAAAAAGAGCTAGTAATAAATCTATTTCTATGTGTGTGTTCACACATGCATATATAATTAGATTGCCATAAATATTTCCAAGGTAAAGTGCTTTAAAAATGTACAAAATATTTAGGGAAAATAGCGGTGAATATAATTGTTCCTTTATGATAGGGTGGACATTTTTAGTTTTAAAAATATGAAACTATAGAAAGTGTTGAGTCACAGATTTGAAAACATAATAATGTCTCCACCCCAGCATCAATTTTTATCTTTACAAAAAGGGGAAATAGATATTTACAACATATGTGAAAGGAACCAGCTCTATCTCATTTCCCAGCTCAATCTAAATGGTCTTATGTATTTATAAAACAACATTTGGCGATCATCAAAAGATGTTGTTTGGCCATGCATAATCTCAGGTTTAAAGTTGCCGTGAAATGCTCCTTTTTAAATGCCAGGAAAATGCATTCATCTGAGGGAGTGTCTCATACTGGAAACTTACTATACCCATCAGGACCAAGTTACAGCATAATGGTGAAATCAGACCAGAGGAAAGAACAAAGATGGTGGCCTGCTGGGGGGGCAGGGCCTGGGAGCTGGGAGTGGTGAAGTCAAGAATAAGGAGTTAGGAGATAGAAGTATCCTAGCCCTGTGTTCTTGAATAAAACCCCAGATACTAGTGGAATTTTAAGAAGGCAGAGAGGTAGAGGGACGCAGTTTAGTTGTAGAGTGCTTACCTAGCATGTGCAAGGCCCTGGGAGAGAGAGAGGAGGTGGTTAAAGGGTGGAGAGAGGCACAGATGGAAGGTCTGTGCCCCTCTCCCAACCTGGAAACCTAGAGAGATGAATTGAGTACAAATGAGCATCTCAAGTGCTCAGTAAAAGATGAAACCCTGAGGGAAAGAGCTCCCTTGAATTCTTGGAGACTGAATATGACCAAAGCTTGAGTAGAGCCAATTCAGCCACAGCAACTGAAGTGCAAGAGGATTCTGGCTGAGATGTAACCAGAGAAGGCAAGTCAGCGTCCAGACTCTCATCAGGCCAAGAGAACAGCAGTGGGCATATCCTGCCAGGCAGGTTGTTATTGTAATATGCAGAGTCAAGTGTTGGGTGAGGCCACTGATGTATTTTCTCTTCCAGCAGCTGGGATAGCATTTCTGGCACTATGTAAGCTGACCAAAAGGAAAAGAGGGATTGATTTCTCTATGCCCTACATCCAAAGTGAATGCTTCCTTCAGCAATAGAGTCTTACCGTTTAATTTCGGTAGGCAACTGAGAGCAGTGGCAATAGCCTACACTATTTTGGGTGTCTCTATGGCCTCCCTCACCAAGAATTTGTAGGGAGCTATTTCATGACTGGCATCGACATTTTCATTTAAAAACCCATGTTATTTCTGGATATTATTGTCCACCCAAGGATGGAACTCTTGGTATCCTGTTAAAAGTACTTTTTAAACATATATATATATATATATATATATATATATATATATATATATATATATATATATATATATATATGTATATATATATATATATATTAATTAGCTTAAAAACTAGAGGATTTTGGTAAGACTTTTTCATATATCATTTTAAAAAGTAGGATAAAAACATAATGCAAAAGACAAA